CTATGGGTCAGGTTCGAAGACTGCCTAGGTAGAAAAAAGTTATGAGACAACTCCAATTTACCAGCTTTGGCTCAAGTGGTTTCCAGTCTGAGAGTTTGAGCCCCAATACTAACAAATTCCTACTAAATTCTATTGTCAGTCTTAACCTTTATTTTCTTTCTGGTTAAAGGTTATCTGCCCACACTTTTTTCCAGAAAGAATAAGGAAAGTGTATGATAGATCAAAAAGCATTTGACTGCTGGACATCTACCCAGAATATCACAAGTCAGGATACTTGTTCATTGCTGCACTATTCATAATAGCCAAGCTATGGAAACAGCACAGATGCCCTTACTAGACGAATGGTTGCAAAAAAAAAAATGTGGTACCTATACACAATGGAATTTTACACAGCCATTAAAAAGAATAATATTATGTCATTTGTAGGGAAACGGATGAACCTAGAACAAGTCATGGTAAGTGAGGTAAGCCAAGCTCACAGAGACAAATGGCTCATGTTTTCTTGAGTGGAAGCAACATCTAAAATACACTAGGACATGATAAGGAATTATATAGTCATTCACAAACAGTGAAACCAAAGGAAGATATTCTACGGAGATGAACACAAATAATGCCTATGTGCCTCTGATCATATAAAATAATATTTACCAAAATGAACTCCAGGAAATGGAAACAAGATTTTTTTTGTTGCTGTTTCTTTTCTTTTTGTTTTGTTTGTTCATTGTCTTTGGAAGGGTGAAGGGAGACAAAGAAATGCAGGGACAAAGAAAGCATGAGCAGCAGTGGCATTCACTGGACACTGTGTTGAAAATGAAGCAACTGGTGGCTGAGAATGGGAGAGGAAAACTGTGGGAGAGCAAGGGAAAGGTGACATGGACCCAAAAGAAATGTACTCCTTCCCTGGAGTATGAAACTGTAGCCCCTCTGTATATCATCTTTATAATAACAGATTTTTTTTAAAAAAAGCATTTGACATTCAAAATGACTCATCCTAAATTTGCAAGTCATGTGTTACAAAGTGATTGTTTGTAAAAATGGACTGGTGGTGGTCAAGCACATATGAGGAAAAATTCCCATCATAACTCTCAGAAGTACAAGCTTCTTAAATAGATGATTAATCATGCATGGATTTGCCCCCACCACAACCCAGAGAAAGAACCTATGTTAACAGAATGTTGGTAAAACCATGTGAGTTACAATCATCAAAAAACAAAACCTAAGCTGAGCCCAGTGGCTCAGGAGGCTGAGATCTGAGGACTGTAGTTGGAAGCCAGCCTGAGCTGGAAAGTCCATCTCCAATAAACTGCCAATAAAAAGCCTGAAGGGCTTGGAATATAGCTTAGCATAGAATACTTGCCTAGTATGCATGAAGCCCTGGGTTCAATTCCTCAGTACCACATAAACAGAAAAAGCCACAAGTGGTGCTGTGGTTCAAGTGGTAGAGTGATAGCCTTGAGCACAGAAAGGCTTAAGGAAAGTGCCCAGACCCTGAGTTCAAGCTCCAGGACCAGCAGAAAAACAGAAAAAAAAAAAAGCCTGAAGAAGTGCAGCTGTGGCTTGCGTGGTAAAGTGCTAGCCTTGAGCAAAAACAGTGCAAGGACAATGCCCAAGCCCTGAATTTAAGCCCCAGGGCTGGCACAAAAATAAATAGAACAAACCTGATCTGCACTGCACTTAAACTGATGCAATTAATTTGGACCTCTTTGTACAACTACTTAAAATAAAGAACAAAACAACCCTGAGGTACCACCTTACCCCAGTCAGAATGGCCTATATCCTAAATTCAGACAATCACAAATGCTGGTGGGGATGGGGAGAAAGAGCAACTCTATTGCACTGCTGGTGGGAGTGTAAGCCAATACAACCACTCTGGAAAGCAGTCTGCAGGTTCCTCAGAAAACTAAACATAGACCTTCCTTAAATCTCAGCCATGCCACTACTAGGCATCTACCCTGACCAACAGGAGCCAGGATACGAGGACACACGCACCTCCATGTTCATTGATGTGCAGTTCACAATAGCCAAGATATGCCGGGTGCTGGTGGCTCATGCCTGTAATCCTAGCTACTCAGGAGGCTGAGATCTGAGGATCTCAGTTCAAAGCCAGCCCGGGCAGGAAAGACCGTGAGACTCCTATCTCCAATAAACCACCAGAAAACC